TGAGCTTTATGTATATATATATATATATATATATATATAACAGAGACGCTGAACGAATAAATTGACTTGGATTAATCAATGTCGGTCAATATTGCACAGATGAGTCTTAGGTGTCCCACAACGTAAATTGCAACTGCCCAGAAATTCGTATTTTAAATCTGAGGTAAAGTGTGAGTGCCATGTGCTTACACTCAAGAAGAGCTTTTGAGGTAACTTTACCGCTACAAGAAATCGAGGCCTACCGTTTAATCGAATTTCAGATCGATCGAACCGAACTCTGTTCTTTCTGGTCCGACGGGAAATTCTACGAGTCCTGACAGACTGCCTTTTTAGTGAAGTTATGCCGAGTGAATGTTCGGATGTAAGATTCTATAGATCTCAGCTAACCCTGGTTGCTGCAATCGTCAGATACCAGGATAATCCAAACGGTGAAGGATTCCGCTTAGCCCGTGAAATGATTTGTGCAAGGTGGAATTAATTCATGTCATACTATATTTTATCCGAGAATGGAAACCAATTTGATTTGTATACGGAACAGAGGGAAACGGAGGAAAACACGGCCAATTTTGGCGGTAATCGGTTCCCATCGCATACACCATTAGGTGACTTATCAATGCAGAAAACTCCAATACAAAGACACAGTCAACATATTTTAACAATCGCGCGAACTAATCATGCTCACTTTGCTCTAGATGCACTATGCAAGACGGTTTAGGAACAAACCATGATTCCCAAAGTCTATATGTGACAAGAAACGTTGGGCCTTTGTGAAGAACTAAACTGAGCTGAAAGGCAGAATAACTTCAAAGGCTTCGTACATTTGAAGCAGAAAAATGTTCTGTTACTGATTCATAAGAGATCAAGGAAATCAGTTACGTGACAGTCACAACTGAATAAACGCGAATTAAGATCCACAGCGAAGTGATTATATCCAACCACATCTTCAACCAATAAGCCCGTAAGTAGATTGAGCAGGAGCAAAATCTGTCTAAAATGAAACGGACACATACGACCATAGCGTTAGAAGCACGAAGAACTACTAGTGGTTTAGAAGCCGATGTATGGAACTTGGGACAGGAGCTTCCAGTCTGTGCACAAAACATAGCATTCACAAATCCTTCCGTTCTGGACGCTCGTACACATTGAACACGTAAGGGAATGTCTTCGTCAACAAACAAAAGTGCACGGCTAGATTCGGTTGAAAATTGGGTGAAAATTCCCTCGTTACTAACATATGGCCAACAGTGACCGAAAACCCAACTCAATTAAGGCCACTCTTTACAAGGAATAAGATATTATTCCTTCATGCGGACTAGTGGATAAAAATAATAATCCTCGTAAACTCTCGACAGAAATTTTAGTTGCTGGTTTCCAGAATGAAATAAATGTGGAGGTAGACATCCATTTATTGATTAAAGGGGTGTTATCGGAAGCAAGCAAACTATCCCATGTGGGATAGTTTAATGATAGTTTAATAGATCTTCGCCTTATCCAAGATTTGACTAAATTCATCTTACCAAAAGTAGAAAAAAAATGGGACTGGGTCTTTGAAGGCTATTTCATTCAGATCAGGATCCAGAAACGCGTCCAGGTATTGTATGCGGGGAGCTGCCTCCAATTCATTGTTTCTTTTTAGTGATTTCCTCTCATGTGAAGTGTGCTTCGGAAAGCTACGACTGATGTGCTTGGGAAAGCTAAGACCGGTGCGTTAGCGGCTTATTTACGGTGCCGATAGTTCCACCAAAATAGATAGTTCATGTGATTATATTAAAGAGATACTAGTATGCGCCGTTTGAGTGATTTTTTTCGGGCTTATTTCTTGTAATAACCGCGTACTTGTCGTACAGTATTTGTAGCTGCTACACGACCGATTATTTGGGGAGGTGGGATAGGTAGCTGAGCATTTTAGCCGGTAGCTAATAAATTAGTGCGTAAATACAGCACTGTGGGTGGACTGTTAAATGGGGGATTCGGAAGGGGGTTATGCACTGAAGGCAATAGCTTGGATGCATGAGCGCTGTTGAAGGCCTGACTGGGCCATGTCTGACAATGTATCTAACCATTGATATGGCTCGTCTCGGGGTCCCCATCCAGGAAGACGGCAATGACCAGCGCAGCTGAATGATGGTGTAATGGTCACCACTAAAATAGGTCAAACGACATAAGCTTTGGTGAAGGCGGTGAGAAAAGATAGAAGAGAACGGTAATTTTTGTTCTGGGTCTTCGATGAGAATCCACGAGGTATAATTCGATTTCAAAAAAATGATCCGTTGCCCACCATCAACCCATCTGTCTACGGCGTAGTATCACATAGAAACAGATGCAAATAAGCTAGTAATAAAGTGCCGTAATCGCATTTAATACTGCCAGAAACCACTTGGAGGCCTTCTCTGACCTAATGTTATGGGTGGATAGAAAGATGATGCAAGTAGCTGCTAACACGGAGTAGTCTAAACATTTGGTCAAACTGATGCACTCACCAGGAAAACCTCTACGGCGCCCACAAGATACATAGCTGAGGCAATGGTGGTACCCAGATAGAACAGCAAACCGACTGCACCACCAAACTCCGGACCGATAGAGCGAGAAATCATAAAGTATGATCCACCGGCTGGCACTTTCCCGTTCGTAGCAATAGCAGACATACTCAAGGCTGTCAACATCGTCTGAAATTAATAGAGAGAGAGGATTACTCTATCAAACAGGCTAGCCAAATGCACGCAATGTTCATATCAATGAGTTCATCACTATGTTCGAATGTCCAATGTGAAAAGCAAGCTCGCGTCAAACATGCATTAATCGACTACCCGAACAAGATTTTATGAATGAATTCGCAAAGCACAGCCGAAGTTTTCTTCCGTTTAAACTCACATGTAGTCTTCAAAAATCTGTCGATTTTTCCTAGGAAAATTTATTTTCTGTTAAGTGCATATTTTGCCACGTTGGTAGGTACTCATATTTGCGGCTGCAGCTGAGAAGCACTAATAAGGCGAACGCCTAAAAACAGAACGATTCTATTTGAAAAATTCCTTACTAGGTTCCTCACGGCAACTGGATGAAAACACAGGAAAGCGTATCCAACATACTACAAAAAACAACGGGGCAATCAATCCGTTAAATAAATCAAACTAATAGATGAGTACAAGTGATTTGATACTATCCACGTTGAAACTGGACCAAAGTCGTCCAAAATTCTGGTGCAAAAGCTATTCAGAACCGGACGAGAACATGGTACCCAAACGCTTACAAAGGCTAAGGATAACTAGGTGCCAATAAAGAACGCGACAGATGAGAGGTCGTCAATAATGTCGTAGGGAATGATAAGTCGGGAATTTTGAAGAAGCCTATATTCAGTGAGATATTATGGTTTTCTAGCGCACTGTGTGTGGTGTGCACTGAGTAAACGCTGAGAATGAGCGTTTTTAGCTGAGCTCCACATACTTGGTAGCTGTATTGGTTTTTTGGTTTGAATTTAGCATTCCCAGTTCGATGAAGCACCCTGTACAAAGGTTCTCCCAATCATTACACACTAGGATTTTTCAAATGTAGACACTGGTAGGTCAGTATACCTATGGGACAAGTACTTCAGCTCACGAGTTGAAAAGGTACTATCCTAAAGCAAGCATGCCAGTGGTTGTAAGCCCTTAGGAACACAAAATAACCTAAACACCCTATGAAGCAACATATTCTCCGAGAATAAATCAACGGTAAGAATGGTGATACCGAATGGAAAAGAAGGACAGGAGGCCTATGGTTCTGGAAAACAAATGCAAACACTGATGTAGTGAAGTGTGAAAACAGGCAACCATCTACAGCTATCAGATAAATTGTTCTTGGAAAGCGCACATTCGATTCGCACTCATCAGTAAGGTAAATCAGCCGCGTTGATTTCCATTGCGCGTGTCCAACTCACTGCGCCACAAAAATAAGCTGACTGACTATGGCACAGAATCCATGTGTTACTCAACCAAGTGGTCGGTAGTTACCTAACTTTATGTACTTTGTGTACACAGGATTGCAAAAACACCGTGTCACGTACTGAAAAGGTGCAAAGTGCTGTTAATGGATTCCCAGTCAGGTGAGCCCCTCCGGTGTGACCTGCCTTGATGCGTCCATACCACGCTTAGAGCAAACAGTCATTCATACCACGCTTCTCACGATCAATGAACACCGCTTTCTTGCGGTCGTGAGTCCATAAGATATGACTTTACTCAAACTTTAACCTGTACTTCATGCCAAGAGGGACTACGTTTGTCTGTGTTCCAGACACATGGAAATTAGCAACTGACACAAACCCAGTTAGCATTTTTTATTGAAGGTTTTCCTATTTGATTAGATGCGGACTTTAGTTGTCTTTGCTTAACATTGCTAAACATTCTCAGTCCTCAAATCAGGGAGACTGGGCAAAATTTTGTTCACGGAATGCGTCTGTCAAGCAAACTGCATCGCAACATATCCGATGCACATCTTGGCTTTTCTCTATGAACTTTTAATTCTTCCATGCATACATGATGAAAAAAACACCCACGTGCTATGCTTTAACTAAACTATTATGATGCTCACACTCTTAGGGAAACTTATCAACAAGTGCTAACCACGATGGAGACCATTGCAGTTGTGACCTTGAAGTCGCTACGAGCGCTGTTCATGTCGATTGCAGCTGAGAAGCAGTTAACGATTGGATTAATGGAAGTGCTTAACCAGCGCAACATGCTAACACCACACAATGCAGATGGTCAGGTGTGTGGGTGCCCCATTAAAACCGATAAGTTACTCAAGAACTGCCTTGAATATATTGAATACTTCAGCTGGGAGATTTGAACTGAAGCAACTAGGCGTGGAGGATGAGAGCTCTAATAGTGTTTCGTGAGCTGTCCCCCGACCGCCCTCTGTCTATCTGTAACAAATATGATTTCACCTGATAAATGGTAAATTTCTCACTTAATGCTCAACCTTTCCCAAATCATCACCGCAACTCGGAAACGGTATTGAGACGCTCACTTTTTATGATGATCCAAAAAATCTAAGTAATTTTTCAACGACCGCACAATATGAGTGTCTTGCGCTGCCACTCTATGAAAATGGTAGTCTACCATTCTTCTAACGCCTCTTCCCAAGAACTTCCTGATGATTGGAACCTTGTGTTGTGTTGAGTGAGCCGAAAGGCTCTGAGTTCTGCGCTGTGACACTGGCTCCTCTGGTCCTGCTTAGGATCAGTCACTTCACGCTGTTCCCCCCCTCCAACGGATATCTCGTTCATCTGGATATGAAACACGCGTCCTGTCTCACTGAGTTGAACCTGTATCCGATTAAGGCATAGAATAGTTTAACTTCTCAAAATTCATCCCAAAGTTATAAGCGTAGTCTTAAGTTACGTCAAGCGCGTTACTTCGTGCTTCCGGTTCGCGCAGTGTCACTCAACTGACATCATCTGGTTAGGTGCCGTTGAAGTAGGGTATTATGTCGGATGTGTTACTGACATTTTCGATAATTGCTGCGCGTTCCCTGGCCTAGAAAGACAAGATATTACAATTTTCAATCCCGATGAGGGAATAAATCTGTACATAACTAACAAGTGTGTATCTTGAATCAGTGAAAATCGCTCGCATGCATATAGAGCAGCAGCTAAGCGGTGTGGTAGTTGGTGGAAACCTTTAAGGAATAGGGCAGTCCTCCTGGGTGCACGAAAGGAGTTTTGTTAGACGTACTGAGATTTATGCCTACGTGAGTGCATAAGTTTTGATTTGATGTAGAAGAGGATATTGGTAGTTTATGATGCCAAGCTGGTAATTGGAATAATGGCCAAGCTTGGCAATAATTTGCTACGAAGTCTTCGCTTTATACGTCCAACGACCGAACAAACAAGCTATACATGAATGTACCAAATCTCCCGTATAGTCTCTATTCCTCAGCAATGTTACTATTAACACATTTACTAGGCGACAAAAAGTCATAACGACCGAAAGATTGAATAACCTCACAAAACAAACGAGATCCATGATTTTTAGGGTAAAAAGTTTTATGAGGTTTTCGTGCCCTGAGTACGCGCATCTGTAACGCAACCGAGTGCATTAACGGGTTTGGACGAAAAGAAACGGTATTTTTGGCTTTTGATTCAAGTGTAACGAACAGATATTTGTGAGATATCAAAAGTAAATAATAAAGTCACTTCACAAGGTGAAATCGATGAGAAATAAGAACGAAGGCTTACTGCAACGCTCGTAACAGACACCCTTGTATAATTCTGTGCAGAAGATCAACATATGCGTTCAAGAATTACTTAAAAAGGAAGAACCTGTGAGAGGGTCATGTTTCTCTAGGATCGACATCCACAGCTCGGTAGAGTGATTCCCTCTCTATAAGGACGCGTAATTGTGCACAAACGACTGACGATTGTTTCGGTTGTTCACTCTCTTAGATAAAAATATTTCACATCATTCATAGGAACAACCTTATGGCTGCGAGAGACCGACATTCCTGATTAAAATCGATACGTATGTGACCGTTTGCCTTCACTACTATGAATTACTTCCATTGTTTCCTGGAAAATGGAAACAAAAGACCATTCGACTATTCTAAACTCGCCGTGGAAGTTCAAGTTCATTCATCTTTGTTGCTTAACTTTCTGCAGGTCTAAGTGCACCGTGAGTGACATCAGCGAGAGAATCGGTAAATCACATACAAAGACATCAATCTAAATCACAAAAGTAATTAGCGGAACTTACACAAGAGCAGCACATGAAAACAATTAGGAAGCTTTGCAAAGCACCTGCAACTCCTGTGATCCAGCCCACGCGAACGAATAGAAGAATTCCGAAGATGTTCTGGCAACATGGCAGGAACACGCCCAGCACTGTACCTAATCGCTTGCGCTGAGATTGAAATGAGAGGGAAGTTGTTATTCCGCTGAAAGGCTTATTCAGAACAAAGTTATTTGTTCATTGTTCAGTGCGCAGTAACTTATGGTGGATTATTTAATAACAGGCTTTGCGCTTATTGAATAAGAAGCTTTGTGCAAAAAATTCCAAGTCCGAGAGGAGAAACACCTACTAGATTTATGGTCCCTCACCAGAAGTGTGAAGAGTAAAAACAAGGACAATGAAAAACAGGATGAAGGCAGATAGTCTCGTTGTCAATACGTCGTTTTTGAACCCACAGACTGAAAGACGAAGACTGCGGTAAGAACACTGTGTCCATGTTTGGTGTTTGTGAAGTGGTTCTATCAAACAGTGAGTTGACAGCGAAGTACACAAGCCATTCCAGCAAATTCAGCCGCGCTGGTCATTGCCGTCTTCCTGGATGGGGACCACAAGACGGGCTACATCAATGGCTAGAAATATTGTCAGACATGGCCCAATCTCGCCCTCAATGGCACTCATGCATCCAACCTATTGCCTTCAATGCATAGTTCCCTTCAGAGTCCCTCCATTGACAGTCCTATATTTAAGCACCAATTTATCAGGTCCCGCCTCCAATGCGTAGCTATCTACCCCACATCCACAAATCATCGGTGAACGAAACTCTGGAGGTTACAAGCACTGAAAAAGTACGCTGTTCTTACAGCTGACTATGATGATGGTGATGATGAGTGGCAATGCAGGATGAATGGTAGAGATCCGGGAAGCCTCAACCTAAAAGGATAATAAGCTGCTAGAGTTGTGTGCATGTAAGATTCGTCTAAAAAGATGCGATGAGCAGATGATTTTTGTGAAGTTTAAGGTGGAAATCCCGAATTTAAGAAGCAAATAGTAATGAATTTACTGATGCTCGTTAGAACGCATTGTACGGTCCCGGAAGAGAACATCAAGAAAAATAGACGAGTGGTAATGGAGATTTCGTTCTGCAAGAGAAGCCAATCTATACTCAAAAGACGGGAAGCACGGGAAAATATGGAAGGTGTGTCATGTGCGACACGCACGCAACCTCCTGAAGCTATCTATATGTTTCAAGTTTTCTCAGTTTTTCAGCACAAGACGAAATCCCCATTAAAATTCGTAAATCTCCCCACATTACCAATCAGAGATGAGTGTACCGTCTTAAAGAAGATCAACCAAATCCGTAATCTCAGATGTAAGGATTCTTGTATGAGGGGTCGTGTTTTTTATTTCGCCTGAATTACGAAAAAATGCACGGGATATCTTATACTAGAAACCGTATCCTACATGCAGCAGAGATACAGCTGTACAAGTTGGCGTAAAATTGGCCTATACTGACCAAAACAACGCTGCACTCTGCATGTGGTAAGTCACAACCCCAACATGTCAGAAGTAATAATTTCATGTTACACAAGGGGCCAATCGGGAACCGTCTACTTGATGAATTTTACCAGTGGATTCTAAGTACGATTGCAAGAGATCGATAGCAGCGACCTCCAAAATTACTTTAAAAGAACGACTCAAGTGTGTTCCTCAGGTCTGAAGATCAAACAAGTATCATCTATAGTGAAAGGCTGTCATTCTCTCATGAGAGATCACTCCAAATAGACTTAGCTCGATAACAAAAGTTCACGGTGACATTTACGGCCAACGACGCTCGAGTGTTGAGTCCTACCACCAAACTAGACCTCCTCTTTTTCATTAGCGTCTTTTGTTCGGGAGAATTTTTCGTATGATCCAAATTCCGTGTTTCTCAGTACACCATAATACATAATTATAGGGTCACCCACGTTCTACAGTATAACTGTACCATCACTGCTAGGTTGTGACAAAGCAAACTGCATCCATCAGGCAGTGGATACTCTCAGAAAACAAATCCACGATTCAGAAGACCGTCTGGGTGGGACTGAACACAGAAAAGTTGAAGACTTGACAAAATTATGTGACCGCCGCGAATTAACGACAATTTTCCAACAGCTGCTTTTTTAGACTGATTGAATTGTCTTAACCAATGTCCCATTCATTGCTTCCTCGTTCTTATTTTACACTATCTATCTAATGAGTTTCGCAGCCTCTGAATTAGGCACCTCTGTACTTCAGGTGAACTAGGATGTCCCACTTGTACCCAACTGCGTTGATATCAAGAATACAAATAACTGGTTCACTGCCTTCGTATAACGGAACCTACGTCACTAAGTTACGTGTAAACCGCTTAGTTTTTTTCTTTAAACTATCTTAGCCTTCCATTTCCCATGGTGGAATCGCTGACTCCCAGTAACACCATGTAGACTGCCTTAAACTTGAGGCAGGTGAGACCCAAAACAGTTTTTCATTTCCTCCCTACTCTATTTTAGTTGCTTTAGACTTCCACCTCTTCGGCATGGCTGGGTCCCCATCGGAATAAAGCATAGATTCCAAAGTCCTGATGCACCGTCAGTTGAAGCTGAAGTCATTTAATCGTTTGGAAAAAGCAAGTTAGATATATTCGTTGAAGCGAATAACGGATGATATCCCAGACAATTATGCATGCACCCAGACAACGGGTTGATTATTACCGTTACTACAGAATCGCAAAAAGATAGTGAGGCGTTCATATTTCCCGAATCATCGATAAAATGTCAACTGAAAAATGCCGTCATATATATATATATATATATTGCACAATGTCAAAAATGCCATCTGAAGGTGTCGGAATATGAAATTCAACTTACAAATTAGTTGGTTTTGGTTGGGAGAGATGACTGGTTGCCCGAGGCAGCGTCAGTGATTGCAGAGGGTGGGTAGACATAAACTGGGCGTTGCCGGTGCATTTTGACAAACAACCTTGGAACTACCGGGTGGCGTTTGTTAGATCACGTTGAACGATTCAGCCGAGTTGACAGGTGGATTCCTAACGCATAAGTGAGCTCCGACCTCGTCTGCCACGTGTTAGATTTGAGGTTTGACGTAACCCTACTTGAAATAACATTTTTGGGTACAAAAGTTTGTTTTCTGCAAAAAGTTGGACAAACTGATGACCAAAGCCCACCTGGAAGATCCTTTGGGTCAGACCGGATAGTATTTTAAGTAATAGGCTGGCTTAACGTGTTCCAATAGTGTCACGGAGCCATCGCGTATCACTTGATCGATAGGAATCACTGTGTCAATCCGGCCAGATTTTTCAACGTGATTTGTCGAACTCCAACCACTAGTAACAAAGTCAACGATAAATATGCACTTACAAAGTCCCAACTATCGTTATTAGGTTATGTCACGCCCCATTGTTTCACCAGAATCGTCATGTGAAGGCATTGATTCTGCCCTGACCAGTCAATCGTTCTTCTTCAGCCAACTAATCAATACAAATAATTGCAGTTTGACGCATTTCGGCGACCCTCTTTAACTCTGCTTGTATCATGTTTTACTGAGAAGCGTTGAACTGATTTTCATATTCTAGTGCCAACGCTACCAAAGCTACTCTATCGAATTCTCCGTGCCGGTAGTGGTAAACATGCGCAACAAACGATCTCTGAAACGCTAGCAGAGTCAGTGTGTAACTGAATCATCTTCCAAGTCGAGAGTGATTTCAAGGATATCTCTATCCGTGATTACACAGCTGTTTCTGTCGCGGTGAGTAAAACTGTCATGGCAAAAGATGGCTATCCTGGTAGAGTCTCGGAGCTAGTTGAACCTAGCAATATCAGCTTCAGATCACAATAACAACTATATTGAGATGTACTTGGAACTAAATGGGGATTCCGATATGGGAGTTCGGATAACAGAATCAAGGCGAGACACTACGAGTGACGTCAACAGACGATTTATTTGCGTCTGCGAGCAACTCAGGCAAATTGCTCTGAAGCAACAGCCTAAACGAAACGAATAATATTTGGAATTTTCAGTATCCACTGTGTCATATCTAAATCCAGGCGCAGCCCCAGTCGAAGAACCTCAGTCCTATCTATACTGTCTGGTGCGCTTTTGGTTGAATAGAGGAGACACTTCGTTTGTCGAAACACACTGAGGCTGAAAAAAGTGTAAACCTAAATAAAAAATTACACTGCTCACCTCACTAGACTTAGCCTGTTTATCTCGCAGCTGTTTGGTCTCATCAACGGTCGGTTCGATTCCTCCGGTGTAGGCCGCCAACTTACTGAACCAATTGCTCATTGGCGTCAGCGTTTTCTGTTCGTCCTGTTAGATAAAGGATAAGTATAGAGTTGTTTTCTTATCAGCTTTCACGAATCCATAAATCAATGCGATTCGCCGTGCTTGCTCCAACAAAAGAAAAAGTGACGTGGTTGCCTGGAAGGGGTGTACGCTTAAGTTATGCTAGTCACTGGCGGTATGCGCGATATCCAAACTACGAAAACGTGGGATGACAGGATAGTCAGTATTCCAATCGTGATCCGTATATTTTTCAGTAGAGTGGAAAATTGGTTTTAATAGAGTACAAGCAATTACTCGATATTTCAGCGTCCATCGTAGTTCTTGCGAAAAAACATCACGTCAGCTATGGGGAAGGTCGAAATGTGGGGGAAATGTGGAATGACTGAGGTAAACAGAATATACGCTGCCATCCTTATCTTTCTCTCTGGCATGATAGACGTGATGAAAACTGATAGTATTGGTTTTTTTTCCCTACTGAATGCCCGGAGGATCTCTCAGGCAACATTGCCTACGATTCGAAATGTCAAAAATTGTGTGTATATCGACCGAGTGTTTTATGTTGTGTCCGCGCCACACCCGATATTGTGTCCTCTGAACGCTCAGTTGGGAATGAATGGTACATCCAGGTACATACATCCCTAAACGTTTTACCTGTGAATAGAAAATTTGTGCTGAACAGATGAAAACGAGGGGTTTTGCCGCAGATTAATGGAAACTGCAGAACGAAATGGTCAGGAAAAACAATGCAACGGCTTCGAATTGAGGCTTCCTGAAGACAGTGCGGTGGAAAGGCTGGAAACTCTAAAACGCGCTAGGTCTGGTACAGCTTCAATAGTCACAATGGATCGACCTTTCTTCTCGAATTCGAATCCTGGTAAGGGACTACAAAATAGTCAGCTGTATAAAAATAAATTTCTTCCAAAATCTCGCCTTGATCAAGAAAATGCATGAGCATGCAAACAGCTTGTCCATTTGATGTTAGCAATAATGAGCTTCCGTGGGCAGATACAACACGCACGCTCAAGTGCGACTAATGACGTTGAAGAATACATTAGGTGAGCATAAGGAAAAGACATTTGCTCCATTTAGCGAGTAAACCTTACTCTGGTCGTCTACTACACTTAGTGGTCATTGCAGGCTGTAAAGAGAAACTATGAATTAAGTAATCGACTCTCACTCAGAAGAGCCGGCAGACGGTTCCTTTGGAGATTATAAATAGGTTAATAGGAATAAATTTTAGAAGTGGGTGAAGTATAAAACACAAAGCCAAAGGGGTCATTGAAGTACAGGTGATGCACAAGTGATGCTTCCGGAGACAATGAATATTACAGTGCTATTCTAAAGTGCCAGTCCCACTGAAAATGACTTTCCCCGCTCACTGCAAAAGAGACATATTAATCAGTAACCGTCGATCTATCTCATGCTGACCGTAAACATATCTCAAACTAAAACAGATCCCCGCAAAAATCGCCGCATCATAGACATTGTTATCATTTCACTAAATTCGAATGTTCAGAAGAAAGGACTGCTATCCTGACGAAACTTAAACACCGGTATATGGTTAGGACGAAAATGATGCAATGGTCCATTTTCACGCTAATCTTTGCACCGAGCTAAATGACAGTTTCTGCTTAGCCACAGTTTGGCCAATATCCCAATAGCGGTTCGTAAAACTGGCTGAGAGAATAACGCACGTTCAAAAATATACATGCGAACGTGGGCCAACCCAAACACACCTACAGCACAAGGCATCAAAGCCTGTCAAAATGAACATAATCATTTAAGCAATCATGAATTCCAAATTGAGGGATTAATCCATTCCTCTAAGGTAAACTCGCTATCCTCTATCCGTTCGTAGATGGAAGTAAACTTTGGAGCCCACCCAAGCATGTTGACAAAACTTATGCTTGTACTGGCCGGTTTCACAACGATCTGCTCCTTTTTCTACAAAGTGAACAATGTTGTGGCGCAGTATGAATCACAACCTTTTCATACAAAAAGTTTTGCGCACCTCAGCAGTTGTCCTAATAGGAAAGAACATCATGTGCATATTGTGTAGGTGAATTGAACTCTTTCAGTAAACACACTCTATGTGACATATCCTACGACGCTTTAGTTCCTAAATTACGGTTGTACGCTTCACAGTCACGATCAACTTGACATAATCCGGCTTTCTGGTTTATATTATTCTGGTTATCTGAGAGATTACGATTGACAACGTAGTCGCAGGTCTATTACTCGTCGACAATTGAGTGAGAAAAAGCAAGATATCTGCACCTGTGCATACAGGCATACACACAGACAACAACCGAACCTGCTCTATCGATCCTCCTCTTACAGGACTTCGTAGGCAAACAACCTAAATCGGTAGTGAAATATACGGCAGTAATCTAAGGATCATGTTCCAGGAAAATAACCTGACCGCAAACGGTCAAGTATGGCTCAGTGTGGGCGATCGGCAATCGGTCCGGCCAGAGAAGTGCAATCATTTTGCGGAATGCTGCCAAAAGAATTTTTGAGGGAAGCTTAATTTCAGCGGAATGTACTTTTTAAAAAGGGCAGCGAAAGCAGCATTCACTTATTTTAACCGGGTGCCCCGTCTGCAGCCGTACATACTAGACACATCGGTAGTAACCAGTGCACTTTTACTTCGGGATGCAGTGCGCATTTTGGATGGTTGTTCTTTATATAAATAGCCGAAAAACCGAAGGTTAGGTGCCTGCTACCGGAAAACCGTTAGATTCACGCATGCCGCCTTGCGGGTCAGGTCGTTTATCGGAGTCTCCGGATGCTAACCTTTAAACCAATTCCTAATTCAGTCTTGTTATCGGAGATAGTGCTGACAAAAAGCACACAATGCCCAATCCTAAAAACAACGATCAATTATACTAACTAGCGAGCACATTTTATTGGAAAGGCCGCTAAAGAGAGTTCAGTGACTTCTTCGGCGGGTTCCTATAATACATCATTACTACCCACATTGTGTTTTCCATGCAACGGCTTCAGGTTCACTTCTCTTAATTTTCGCATACTTCAACAAACTTGAGAACGTACTACACTGGCATGATTTAATAAAAAGGGATGTGTCAGAGACGTGTCTGCATAGTTACGTCTCAACTGCTATCCCGAATTCACTGGCACGGTCAACCCGCTTACCATCTACATCACTCTGATGGCCCTATTTCCTCGAATGTGCCCAGTGTTTTAATGCTTCTTCCGATACGAACGTGCTGCCGATGATAATGATATCGACCTATATTAGACTGTGATAAGATTCACTGGATTGTGTGGGCCAAATTATCATGGAGCTGAAAAGGCGCTTTCAAACTCATAGACAGAGGCTCAGAGGCTACCAAGAATCATTTTAACATTTCTTTATGGAACTCCTTGGGCACCAGTAGGCAAGTGAGTTCAGATGAATGTTACTTCAGTGATACAAATGGCGTAGACTAAAGATAAAAGATAAATACGACGACCATTCAACTTTGTGTTGCGACTACCAGCTATTTCCTGCAGTGTCTTCCAGGTATTCTGCGATGTGACATCAACCAGCAGCCCCCTAACCAACTATGTTGGCCTTAACTAACAACTGAGAAATTCAGTTCACAACAGCCATTTTTCGTAGAATGAAATAGTTTCCGTTAAGTAACCAATGCGGCTCCGTAGAAATCGAATCATCAGATTTGACAGGATCTATGTAGCTAAGCAGTGAGTACCAACCACCCGGGAAGTAATGCGACAAGAACTACGGATATTAGCAGATATCAAGGTAACTGTTAATCAGGATTAATCCTGGTCAACTGCGCGCAGTGCTATAGGACAAATGTTTCTGGATGCTTTTAGTGACGTTAACACAAGCCCCATTTACTGGACCTTAGACAAGCCCTCTCTGCTGATCTGAGTCGGAACAGGGTAAAAGTAGTTCGGTCCGTTGTTGAAAGACTGCTGAAGAACGGGACTAAAGGCCCAATTTGAGCCACCGGTGAACGCCAACTTCTGCCCAATCCATTCGTTCCGTTTAAAACAGGAGGATGAAGACAATTACATGCGCGCTGATGATAAATCACTCATCAAGAAGCATTCGTAATTATGCTTCTTTACGACAGGGAATATATTGTCTTAGAATGCAAGAAGCGATAAGAGCAGTTTGAGGCGTGATGAATCAAAAGCTATAAAAACTTTTCCGTCAAATTGAAGTGTTACCATGAAACATTAGAATAGATGTTGACAGTTCCATATAAGGCAACTTTACAACAGAACAAATCACTACTGCTTACCTCAAAAAGCTGTAATCCATATTCCTCATCATCTTCAGCCTCAATATCTTCTTGTACCACCTGAGTAGGAATGCTCGCTAAAAGATGAAGAAAGATACAGCAACTTCCAAACATAAATTGCTTTCCGATGGTACTTTATTGATGAAAAATCTGTCTAGAAACTAAGCTTGCCGCAAGCGAAAATGCTCAATGAGCTCTTTATGGAAAGGTTTACTTAAGGCCTAGATATCAATAGGTTACTTACTGGAGGATTTTCAGTGTCCACCTTTACTCTTTTCCTTAAAATATGGCTTTCAAATAAATCATGGTTGTACGGCAGTGAAGCATCGGTGTTGAACGCTGATGTCATGCTGCCGATGATAATGATGAAGGATTTCCAGGGAACTCATTAGAACCAACTGATGATGATGAGTTTGATACACCATTTGCAAAGTCAAACACACATGACCGTTCAGGTATAGAAACGCGGCAACATTGAAACAGAAGTCAACGGGCTTGATTTAAAAACTAGGGAAAACTAACTGACCCAGCATCAGTATGGGGCGAAATTGCATGTGATAGTTAACTTACGATAACTCTCTACACAACCTAATTAGAATGAAAAAGGCGTTTTCGGTTTACGATACTGATGCGGCAAGATAATAATTTTCCTCATATGTGTATGTACGTAATAATAACAAACTATATAAACGTTCAGCTGTAATACCCTTTCGGTGCCTTGATGCCATGCCACCCAAAGGAAGCACGAGGGCTGAGATACTGCCAGGTTTCCCAAGCTTAGACAGAGAAAGTTGTGAGGCGGAGGTCGGGTTCAAACCACGGAACTTCCGGTCGACAAATTCGCACTCTAACCACTGAGCCGTCTAGTCAGGTTTTTCAGATGTTAGGACCAAACCATTAGAGTTATGAGAAAAGTGCAACCAAATAATACTTTCTATCCTAAAAGTTGAATGGGAGTTTTGTGTACATTGTGTTTGTGTAATCGTCGCTTTTCTCGCATCAAGAAAAGACATGCGGTGATATGCGCACATATGTTTTACGAATAACAAGCCTGGATGCTCATAGAGGACCCACTGAATAGTATATAAAAACATAGTAAACTGAACGTTACGGCGTTTTACCTACAATTACGTTAAGTCGGCCAATCAAAGTCGGTAAGAAATACTCGAACCTCAAACCCCTATTTAGTAACTTTGATTTGCTTCACTCCAGTAATAACAATGCCAGTGTCTATGATGACCAACCGGTCAATCAATCGAACATCAGTGAATAAATTTGATTGAGATGGTGATCTATTTTTGAAGTTTCTACACTAGTTATATGACGTTCTATCATCTGACATTCGATAAACCCTTCCGATTACGGCACTGAAGCACCAGCGTTCTCCACTGTTATTTCGTCAGTGATGATGATGATTATGATTATGAGCTTTTCGATTCCTAAAAGCCTATCAGTGAACCTTAATTAGTAAGTCCAAGCTTAAGATATAGGAACGGCTACGCCGTACAAGTTTTCCTGTGTATTTGATGAAGGAGTGTTAATTTTTTATATTAAACTATTTTTACTGGCCGGTAACTATTGACGTACATCCCTAATTACTGTGTAATTCTAATCTTTTAACAAGTCTTAGCACCAAGTTCATCGGAAACATATCTACCTTCAGTGGCAATAAAAAGCCCATTTACAGTGTCAGCTATTCACATATAGAGCATCAATATTAGAAGGAAGAATACAACGATATAACAACAACGGTGTTCTTAGTTTGTTTGGTTTGCGTGTCATTCATTTCAATAATTACCTCCTTGATGCCAGTGAAGACAGTTATCGGAGACCAGACATTTTTGTCTGCCTACAAAACCATCATTATGTGTTGAGTAAGTGTCTTGTGGAAAGAAGTCCACCTCAAATGCTGGTAAGGGAATTGCTACTGTGCAGCTTCTATGGATGAAGTAGAATCCAATTCTTCCTCAATTCTTCCCCCAACTCTTCTTTACCAAAATTAAACGGCAAAAATGTGGATGTCCCGTACAATAACTTAGTTCATGGACTATTGGCTGTTTTCTGAGATAGTCAAACTCTGCTTACAAACCAAAGACGGCAAAAATATGCGTCAGCCACAGTAAGCTAGACGAATTAGTTTACTCCCGAAAACTGAAGGTCACGTTTATGGCACTGTTCAACCGCCTTCTGTACACATCTTGCCGCTACGCAGGTCGCGATCAAGTATGTAAGGGCTTGAAGGTTATCCCTGATACAAATAAGTTAGCACTGAGTACGCGATCTGTAACAACTCCATATAGAAGTCTGAAGATGACTACTTTTACTAGCAACCCCGTTTATACTCAGATGTCACCAAAAAACAAAGTGCTTTGTGTTGTTTATGTGATCAAAATACAAGTGACTAAGTTTAGCGAAAAATATACTGGTAACGAAATGCGGAAACGTGTTGCTGAATCTTACTAGTCAGAGAATCAGCATCTGAAGTGAAAAATCGATTGGATACAACCCTTCTCTCCGAAGAACATCTGATTGACTCCAGTATCAAACGAATCCAGGTTCCAGGCAGTTCTTATTTGTGCTACGATAAACAAGTCGACTCACTCACAGAGTTATCTTTGCAATGATTTTTTGTATAACTTGCAGTGGTTATTAGCCACGGTTACAATTTAGCAGGATTCCGAAGCCAAAGGCGAGCCTTATGAACAACCGGGACTGACAATTAATAAGATCACAAATTACTGTGATTGCGTATGATTGGATCACTCGAGTCGGACGGTTAAAAGCACACATCGGTTTGGACAAGGTAATAAAGGACAGTGGCGGGCTCGCTGGTCTCACAAATATCAAATAAATTGTCGTCAGCAACGCACTCTTAGCACTTACCAACGTAAAGCTCAAACAGTGAACACACGATCACATAGAGAAGTCATATTTTTGTTTGTATGCAATGAATCTCCTTAAATGAGGATTATGAGACTTACAGAAGCACACAGAACAAAAACATGAGTGCAGATTGTACACATTTGTTCTAGTTTCAAACTTCATTGTGTCGCTATCTGGAGAAACTGTTCCTAAAGCAGGCAAGCAACGTATCAATCATGCGCCTAGATAATCAAAGGGTGTTTCTTGAAGATTTACTAGCTGGATAGAACCAAAATAGTTTTGAGCAATCCGAAGACCAATGGGTTCCGGCAAACAGTAAGTAGACAGAGTTGGAAACCTCGGCTAAACAAGTTACTGCAGGTCAGTTAGACATTGTGCAATGATATCAAGAGGACTAAACAACCGCAAAAATATGGTTATTCCAACAGGCAGCCGAACAACCTTACTGAAGTAACTGAATTTGGCGCGCTGCAGCGAAAATCAACACGGACGGCTAGGAGAGACAGTATGAAGAATGACAGCGTAGTCCAATGCGATAGCTTTGATCGAAGTTCTTGTATTACACTGAAGGTTTCATGAATATTTCAGCATCTGTGGCTGCCACGCGAAACAAATAGCTATGATGGGGAAGTACAACATGAGTTTGTATGCTTTGAGCAATTGTATATTCACAATTCGGCTAGCTTTACGACCTCTAAAAAGACATCAATACAGTGAGAGGGAAGCTGAACGAACGCATGGCTTCTGGTCAACTAAACGGCGAAAAATTTCCTGAGGACAAAATTGTGGCCGGAACTAAAAATGTGCACACACGTCTGCAGCTACTTCAAAAATTATTTTGGTCACCATAGTGTACTTAAAAATAGCACACATCTCCAAAGAGGAAGTGAAGCTGGTAATGACAACTATGGTGGAATTATCCTCAGAAAGCGCGATGGTTCAGTGATCACAGCGCGAATTTCGGGGTCGGGTTTCGAACCCAACCAACGCCTCTTGAATTCCTCTGTCTACTCTCGGGCACCTGGCAGCTAGGCACAGAAAGGGTGGTAAAGCTGAACGATTGTCATTCTTTATCTTCATAAATATTGCGGCCGAAATATTTGTTCCGTTTGTCTCAACTTTCTTATGAAGTAAACCATAAAACTGCAAGTCAGGTGGGGTTGTGTTCTACGCCGGAATTTAGTATGCCCTAATTTCAACCAAACATAATATTCCTCATTGACTCTTACGTTGATTTTAGCTTCGTTAACTGTAAACTGCAGTAGACAACCACTCTAGCCAATGGTGATTTTCATCAAGTTCAATAGGCTTATCAAGGTGCTTTGATCATCAGAGAAAGTAAGTGGTGGAGATTTCCGGTAAGGACATCTCGGAGCTGGATATCGTGGACAATGCGCAGTAAAGCTGCCGACGAACACCGAGGCATTATAAACCGTAGCCTATACTAGAAATAAATATTTTGTCGCTAGTTATTTTTCCACTGGTTCCTAAAGAAATAATCTGCTGGCAGGATCTGAGATTGTTGTTTTGGCCTACAACTCCCATATCAGTCCCTGTAAGAGTACAATTTTCAAAGGTCAGTATATTGAGCAGGGAAGGACCGCGCTGAAAATTCCAAAAAGTGCCGGGCCCCTTGTAATGCTAAGCGTAGTTTTTCAGTTTCAGAAAACAAGTGAAGACGTTGTCTATTACGGCGTAAGACAAAAGCGAACAATGACGACAATATCAAACGATAGCACTTAGCTGCCATAGGACATTATGGATTGGTCCCCACGCGATCTACTATCTGCCCCGAAGAACCAGGCCCTATGCTGCAAATTGTGTGGAGACATGGCCAACCGATCTTTANGTTATCAAAGACGTTTTCAGAGCAAACGTGTTAGGACTAAGAAATAGGACGCAAAAGAACGAACACACCCTTGACATGGCTCCTAAGTCAGCGAGTTTATCACAGAATCCAAAATTTCATATCTTCGCGAAACATGAGCAGTGATATTTTAACAAAAATTAGGTGGTGTAACTGGCTACCCGGAAGAAATCCACAGAAATTTTCACAAGGCTCGTTTTGTTGCGCTTTTGGTGTCATTCGTTCATAAGTAACATCACTTCATTTATTGTTGCTATTATTATTTCTGGATCTGAGCCAATTTTGTGCAAATGGTTATGCCGCCATTGAGCTCGAACATCACTGTCAAACAGGAGGTGCAAAGTTTAACTAAACAAAGTGGATTGGGGTACTAAAAGGGTTACATGGATAAGCCTGGATGTATAACTCGGATGTACGACTAGCATCAACTATGTAGCACTCTGTGACTTTTTTCGAATGCCACACCAGGGAAACGACGTTTGTTGATAATTACTATCCTACGGATCGGTCCAGATGCAGTGAAGCATCGATGTTGAACAATGATGTCATGCTATCGATGATGATTAGCCCAGAAGCTTTAGAAACATTCAAAAAGCATTGTATTTGAAACAAAAAGGGCCAGATACGCGTTCAAATGGACGAACTTTGAACCCATCAGGTGTTGCTTCTACCCGATATCATGTGGCTGGTATTTAATGAAGGGCAGAGTTGTCTTGGTTCACCTCACAGACAACGCAGTAGAAACTACTTTGAAAATGATATCACGTATCAGTTGAAAAGCACCGAATTTGACGAAGAGTTGACAGAGCTATCCAGAGGGTTTACGTAAGCTAAGGAACGCATTATAAGTGGGCAAACCAAAGTTATCCAATAATTGCTGGCTTCATTCATGAAATTTAAAATCACTGAGGTCGGAGAATAACGCTAAGAGCATTGAGCACTGCACAAAGATTTAACGGCTTTATATAGCGTTTATTTATATTATATGACCGGTCACTACACGTAGCTCTTAAGGGTGAAATCTGAGTTTCTGTTTACAAAGCGCTAGTAGAAAAGCAGTAGTTCAATGAAGATAAGAAAATCCAGCAATTGTATATCTGTAGTTAGAGGAACTAAACTGTGCAATTTACTTAACTACGCTAGTGGAAAACCGTTCTCAATGGTAAGTGTTTTTAAAACAAAGGCATTAAACTATTAACCGACTCACAAGTAGCTGAAATATGCGGGTTACATCACCATGCGGCTTCTTGTGAACTACTGAGTACAGGCAAAGGCCGGTAGCCAATTCGCCGTAGTTAGTCATAAAAACCCAAACACAACATTTTCACTACATTTTATGCTTTCTTCGAGCATTATTCAACCTTTTTGTGCGTTACTAGCTTCGCCTTTGTCAAAAAGAGAATCGGTTCACAATAGTTCGTTTAAGAAACCACTAAACTGGTATTCTAAATGTCCTAGAAGGAACAGTTCAGCCAACTTAACATTTGCGGTGAGGGGAGCATTTTTGTTTCCAGACTGGCCACACTAGATTCCTGGTGATGTGCATGTCCGGGCACAGGTACACAGAAACAGTCCCATAATTAGTTCTGCATAGTTCTTTCCGTACAATCGCTCACTTTGAATCTGATCGTTAGGGAACGGCGATTGATTTTTTCATAATCACTTCTAATAATAATAATCGTTCGGCTGTAGCACCCTTTTGCTGTCTACCTGTCATGCCAAACGCAGGAAGCACGAGGGCTGGGATACTGCCAGGTTGCCCAAGCCTAGACAGGGGAAGTCGAGAGGCAGAGGTCGGGTTCGAACCACGGGCCTTCCGGTCAGTAACTTCGCGCTCTAACTACTTGGACCATCTCTCACTTCTAAACACCCGACCTAATATGTACTAGTTTACTGTCCTAACTTTGAGTATATGCGACGAAAGATCGATCACGCCTTGATCGCTTTCTCAGTATTCAGTATTCTATATTCGGGTTATAGGGGGAAGTAAGTAATCCGTTCAAATCAGTAAACATCCGGAAAGCCATTTGTTCATAAGTTGTTTGGTTGGCAACAAGAGCTTTTTGTTTGTGCTATTTCTACAAAAGGAAACACGTGCATTATCTCCAAGGATTAGTCTTGCTTTACGACCCTGAGCAGGCATAATAAATTGAGTCGACAACGTCTACATTCGAGTATGCGAAACCCCATCTCTTGGTGCTGCAGCTCGTGGGATAGTATTTGTAAATCCATTACCCCAGTACCACTTGTTTTAACAGCTTTTCCCACTGTTCGCACAAAGAATAAAGCTTGATGTCCGTACACCATTGCTTGTTAGATGGACCTAGAGTTTGATAAGCTGAACACCCGCTTTGTTGTGATTTTGATTGTTCTGGGAAAAGGTACTGGCTTCAGTGCCCATAATTTCTCAAGGTTTGATACCTTGGTAGTACCAAGTCGATGCCACACGTGAGCCCGAGGATAGTTTCGTCTAACAATGTTCTCGAAGGATTTGCTATCGCGACGTCAAATGCTCTGGGCAAAGGGGCTCCACGCCTTAGCCAGGCTTATGAAAATCCATAAAATGAAGACAACCTGATTCTGCACACACCATAAGTGGATGTGTACATCCAGTGGCTGGGCGATACTTTTCACCACATAACCACGAACAAGGCTAACCAGTTTAGCTAGTAAAAAATTCCTGGCTAGTGGACATCAGCCATTCCTCGTTCTTTCAGTGTCAAGTAACTATGTTTATGGTTGGGCCAAATTGTTACACATGTAGTGGCTAATAGCAGGAAACAAAAAATGGTTGGGTGACGACTTTTCTCAACCACAGAGTATCAACTTCAAAATATAACATTAACCACAAAAATCAGTTAAATATATGGCAGCACTTATACAAGACAGGGGCGTGAAGTAGGTAGAAAGTGCTCACCATAAGCTAACTCAGAATCCTTTGTGACAGAAGCCCGTGTACTTCTACGCCCCTCTTCTCCAACAGAAATTACGCTGAATTTTTTGGCAATGTACTCTCCGCTCATTGTGCACAGAACAGAGTCAACGAAGCAAAGTTATATGATTCGAAGAAGTCGGACCAGCAAAAACCGATTGTCAAGGTCGCCGTAGGTGTTTGTTGATTTAATCAAACAAGTGGTTCAGGATAATCAACGGGTTTTTATGCAACTACTGAACAAAATGAAACGAAAACTTATATTTCACCCGCAGCTATGCAGCATTGGCAACTGATCAATTATAAGTACATATAAGGTTGTTTCTGAGACTTGGAGCAAGAGGCCGCTCCCAAGATCATTGGGTTGTGCTAGAAACTTTCTAAATCTACCATCTTCGGTGTGTGGACTAATTTCCTTGAATAGCCGGAATCTGAAGGTCACGTGATTGCTGCGACTCCCAGTAGCAGTAGATCTGCTGACAGGGCTACCTTGCAGCTTCCCAACCCATTTTGAATTTGGTAACAGAGATGCCGCATTTCCCGTCCAGGAATTACTGTTTTAATGAAACGACGGTTCCAATTATTTTATCACGTGGGTGGGATTTTTGCACTATTTTCTGCCTTTAACGAGATGTTTCATAGACTACGTGTTTCGAAGGCTTCTTTCTGGAACGTGAACGGCCTTTTTCTCCATTGGGAAGGCACGTTAGTCGTATTACTGTCATTGCAATCTGCTGTTTTCCGGCATTTAGGCTGGGCAACATTGGTGAGCTAAGTGGCTGAGTGACCGATTCACCTAATGATAAACTTGATGGAAATAGACCCCTATTACAAAATCACACGCCAAAACATCGTTCCCTTTTACTCCGTAGCTTCCTTCTAAGCACGTCGCCAGTTTGAGTGGTATGAAATTCCCTCAGGGTTGCTTGTGTGCCCGTTCGCGCGATCGACCCGAGAGAGAACAATAATCCATTTATTCAAAGTTGGTGTGACGGTCCCAGATTTATTGTCTCTCAATCTATCCGACACTTCTACCGAGACTATCGCTCGCGCGTTCGTAAGTGGTTGGATTCCAAATTTCGGCCTTCATTCATTTATAAATATTGACCGTGGCTCTTGATTCGAATTCCATCGATTTAAATACTTCCAGCACTAAAATGTCCATCACATCCTCCTACGTCTTCACTTGTCTTGCCTGGCACTCATTTAGATAATCAGTCCCTCTACCACTCTGGCAGACACGTTCACTAGCCAGAACGTTTTGTTTCAGGCTAACATCACACACGGTTTCATAAGCACATACATTCTCCTTCAACGTGAGGAGTGTATTTTTGGCGGTCACTCACTAGATCACGCATCGCAAACATTCAAACCACGTGTCCCACTTGTAACCTTACCTGATGACATGTCCACTACAATTTTCCCCCAGTTTTTGTCTACACGGCTATCACGTCATGCGTAACGCGCCAGGCTTACATAATCATTCACAGGTCAAGTTGTATTCATGGTGCAATTGTCAAACACGAATGGACGCACTTCTTCACACTACACACAATAGGCATACACAGGTCAAGTTGTATTCATGGTGCAATTGTCAAACACGAATGGACGCACTTCTTCACACTACACACAATAAATAGGCATACAGCCCCGCCCGAAAACATACTTGCCCGCACAGGACAGGAAGACAACCAAGCTCCACAAGTCTCCACGGATTACTATGGTGCACATGAAGCAGCTATACTGCAGAGAAGACACGTCACGCGTCATGGACTTCGCTCAGGAAATCTCAGCAGTTTTCCTCAAAGGACAAGTCACTTTTCGGCTTATTCCCTTCTTGTATTTAGTTTAGTTTTATCAAGTGCACACAACTTTTGTGATCATCATCATTCTGGTAAAAAAGACATTTGTCTGTGCTTGTCAACTTTTAATGATCAACCCACTTACGCTACAACCAGAACGCTGGTATCAGCACTGCAGAAACCTTCCATTTTTCCTTGTCGAATGAAAACTTTTGCGTTCTTCGGCATGCCCTTTTCACCTATTAACGTTTAGACACCTCACGAACACATATTCCTTCCCCTACCGAAGTGACTAAACCTTACTGTCGTGGCAGTTTTATGTATCTCGATGAACCAATAAAACATTGGAGGGTTTATGCTCGGCACTCAGATAGTCTCTCATATGAGGTTGGTCAATGAATATGTCTGACAAACAGTCTTCTGGTTCTCGAGTTGGGAGCTCCGTTATCACTGGAGCAATCCCTTGTGGGTGGCATACCGTCTGGCATGATCATGCGTTTACAGTCAGGCTGGGGTATGATATGGGGATTTGCGGGTAGTGGGGATTGTGCGAAAAGGGGACAATGTCATGAACAGTGGGAGGTACTCGATTAAATAATAATAATATGCTTCTCTTCCAACTTGTAGGGAACAATAGGCATGAGGTCCGACCAATGCAAAACTCAGTCGACTGACATGAACTAAAACCGGAAAACAATTGCTGGCCATGAGTGAACTTGGGCGGTTGGATAAATGGCCGGAGCAATAACCAGCAAAAGTTGAGGTGGGTATGAGATAATTCGAATAGGGAGAACAAGGCAAGTTTAGTCTCAAAAGTATGGTGCAATCTGAGAACAAGCAGACTCAGTTGTTGCACTGTTGTTGGGAGGTCAGGTGAAGGGGTTAGGTTGGATGGGGACAAAGAGGTGGTTGAATTCGAACGAGTAGTCCAACAGGCTGGAGTGAACGTCATGGTGGCCGTTGGGGTCAATGAAACGAGTGGGCAAGAGGACTCGGTTGAGAGGAGGAATGGAACAGTTGCGGGTGTGCTAACAAACTGAGTATGGCAGTGCCGAGCCACCACTGGCCTGACATGCTTCAGTTTTTGGACAGCCCCGTGACGGACGTCACATTTGAGATGATTCGGCGGGGTGTGCAATTCACTGGGCAGCGGTATTCATTTCAGCCTGGTCGAAGAAACAAGCTGGTACGAAACCGGTGTGGAATGGTAGGTTTTCTTGGTCCGCTTGGTGATCCTAGAGTTGTAGATCATTAGCCAGGTGGAGTCGATATCAGCTAACCAGGTCGTCCAAAACGGGCACTTCCGAAGCTCAAAGCTTGAGAAGATGAGGGGACGGAGGGGATTCGCAAAACATAGTGAGTTTGAGAGGATATAAAATGGGATAATATGCATTAGTATACACAGAAAGAAAAGCTTGACGTCCGCTGCAATTGGGGTGATGACAAGTGATTATATGGAGTAGGAAATATATAGGAATACTGAACAATCTGAGGTTTCTGTGGTACAGTTTTTGCCGGCTTCGATAGATATGGGGGTTGCGAGCTGGGTCTTCCGGCGTGCCGCCTCTTTCGATATACTGTAGAGGTGGATGATGGGGATTCGGGGTCTGGCAACCGCTTGGAGTAGGAAGGCGAGAGTGGTATCATAATGAAATACTTCGAATAAGGTTGAGGAATAAGTGAATATGTGGGGAAATTGTTGAGAGACCACTGGGGGGTATGAAAACCCTAGATCGTATTGAGAGGGCCACAGTCAATCTTGGCCACATTTGTGGGCTGGTAGTTTAGATAGGACAGTGAGAGCCAGGGACAGTGGTGGCAAGTCGTCAGGGACGGTTATGCAGAAGAGGGTTAAACGCGCCGGGGACTGACACTGCTTAAGCCTACTAAAGAAGGGAGACCTGTTTAACTCTGTCACCGAAAACAATTGGGGATCCCTGGTGAAAAAATAGTTACCTAGTATAAAAAATGGTTAAAGACCTTTGGGTGGAATATAATCCAAAAAAGTTTCTACAACACCTGAGCTTGAAATTATGGTTTCGCGGTTGAAAGATATGTTGAAAGATATGTAGCAAAAAATTCCGTAAAATTCGTGAGATACTTGCATTTGCAGCCAAAAGCCGCTGCTTTGCGTTTAGGCTTTTGAGCCAAAAACTTTGGTTGAGGACGTTAATCGTTCTCCTATCCATTCCCTCCAGTATATCAGCCCAAATACAAACTTGAATTGCCCAAATACGAATAATCTGATGATTCAGGCTGTCGCCTGAAGGCATTGGGCGAACCGCCCCACTCGCTTCATGCAGCAAGGCGGGTTAGCGAAAACACGCTACCCCCGACTCCTTCCTTTTTTCTCCATAAAGTTTTTCTTTCTTCTCTGCCTACCCCAGTAATAACTCTCTCCTTGTCGGTCAAGCACCTAAGACCAATGACCTTGTTTATCCGGAAACGGTTCCGCAAGCAACATCTGCGCGTCATCCGACGCTAGCTTCCTCAGCCATCGCAAAGTCATTCTGCAAGCCTCGATACTCTATATGACCACCTTTATTGTCCGCACTCTGCAGCAAGCAATTCAACAAACTGCTCTTGCTCTGACGTTGGACTCGCCTACAATGGATGTGAGCTGTGTCCCAGAAGACAAGAGTTCAATATGCAAGCACAATGGTTCCATCACTATCCACTCACTTCCAGCTGCGCACCTCCGGCGGCCCAGAGGTTGCTGCAGCAGAGGCTGGAGTCGTCCCAAGTCACTAGGCGGTGGGATTCTTACTTGAATGGATTGCTGTTAATAGTCTCCTGCGCGCGGTTTGTCTGACAACGTCTGTGAACGGGCCTTGTTAGTGAGGAGCTGATCTAGACGGGTTTTGTGACGCCCTGACCTCTCTGTTGTGGTAAGCAAATGCTCGGATGTCGTCGTGGCCTCGGGAGATCTGAATACACATCTGAGAGGCTTAGCGGTTTTGGGACTTTAGTTGGCGGACTCGACTCGACGCACACGGAGAGCGACGAAAGATTCCTTCAGCTCTGCGCCGGCCGCAGGCCGTTCGTACGCAGCAATAATTTTAAAAATAACCGAAGACGTCCTCTAACATGGTGTCCTCAACCGTCGTGCCCACCAAATCGATCGCGTTGCCATCAGTTACCATTAACGTGAATCACTAACTAGCTGCTGCTTGATTTTGAACAGATTTGCGGTTCTTGAATATGCATTCCTCTGGAATCGCTTCTTCTTCTGTTTTCCATGGCCGCGTAAGTTGCGGAAACGTCGCCTGGGAGCTGAAAGACGGTCAGATTTGAATGTCAAACATGGTTACCAGAATTGTCTTCAAGAGTCTCTTCTTAATGC